AGTACAAGTAACGTGTAACAAGGTCACCTTAAAATGAAGTGTTACCAAAGAAAAATATGCATGGATGAATGGTTCACAGTAAGATCAATTATATGCATTTAGAAAGCACTGTATAAGAGGTAGTAGCAGCCTTTTGGATTGTAAATATTTCTGTTTAATGAATTTCAGTCCTTTTATTGCCTTTTTACCTGTTAATCAAGGTAATAATCAATAATAATTGTCTTTCTGATGTTGATGGTGAAATCCATTTTCATCTATTTTTTTTATCGCAGTCATAAAAATAATAATAGACTAAGATACCTTCTAAGTTGCTGTTTTCCAAAAACAAGCAGAAAATGCCTTTTTTTCCCACTAATGTAGGCAAGTGTCTGTTGTTGCTGGTGCCATGCCTTTTGTGCTAGCCTGAGGATCTCTAGTCTTCTGCCTCAGCCACGACCTAAAATCACTTTCTGTCCTCCATTTGAGCTCCTGCTACAGTCAGGCCCAGTCTAAACACAAGCACAGTGTGATCAGTGTGTGATTGACACGATGACAGGCTTTTTGCATTGATATTATACATAGATATACAGTGAAAATTTGTTATTCAAGTTTGTGAAACCTCAGTATTAAAATACATTAAAATGAATCTTTTCATTTTTATAGTATATAAACGGTAATCAAGCTATGGTTAAATGGACTCTGCATCATAGAATAGGCTATGTATTACGACACATCTTTATTTTTGAATGGGCAATTTTTTGTCTATATTGAGGTTGAGAGTGTAGCTTGTTTCATAAAATGTCAAATTAATAAAAAACTAAATAAAAAAAATTTCATATTTTCCTAAAAGTTTTTTCCCCCTAAAGTTTCAGACAGTGTTTCATGGGTGGTGGTTATGAAAAAGCCACTGTACTGCAAAACAAGGGATATGGGTGATTCACTACTGTAGAATTCTCAAAACAGAAGTCATAATGTTTGTATTTAATTTTGTGGTCATCACTGAAGAAAACACTGTGTCCACTGCATTTAGGATTGAGTGATTTGCTGTGCCGGTTGTTCATTACGTTATGCTCTGACTCATTGTGGCTGCTGCTGGTGATCTTCACCTCTTGCGCTGTTTGTGTGATAAACATGATTTTTTTTTGGTGGATAAGCTGATCTCTTGATTGATGTGCAGTTGCTGTAACATTCTGGTCTTGGCCCTCCTCCACTGTCAGACAAACGAGTATATTTTGCTTCAATCCGTTGGGATTATGACCCTCGTTTCTGTGCTGGAGGAGGAGGGATGGAAAATGAGGGGAAAGAGGATGAATCGGGAGCAGGTGGTTGTGCCAGTGTCACATGGCCAGTTTGTTGGCGCACGTGGATGGCGTTTCATGATGGTGACATTGGACGCTGTAGAGGATTTTGCTGGGCAGGCTGTGTAGTCAAGATGTCAAATGTCATATGTCATAATTACTGCCAATGTTTTCTCAAGTCCTAATATCACACA